ATCCATTGTAGTGCCTGTGCATTACACTAGTGGTGCTGCAGGAGACAAACGCTACACCCTTATTCCCAATGGCGTTCAGGCGGCCCTTGCTGTGACGGCAACAGCAACAGCGACAGATGTGGCGTGAGCATAAACAACACGAACACCAGCAGCATGAACTACTGCATCGACGGCATCAGCAGCAGCAGCAGCAGAAGCAGCGGCAGCATGGGCAGCAACAACAGAAGCAGTTAATCCTCGCGCGGCTTTTTTTGTCCTGCTTTTTGTCTCCGCTCTTTTTCTATTTCAAATTGCGGGGTCCTCTAGCCTTCACTATCTCCACGCTATAGTGCAGAAGCACCACCAGCAACGGGACCAGCGGCAGCAGGACCACCGGCAAATATCAGCGGCTATGCTATCTATGATCGATGTAACGAGACTGCTCGACCCTATTGAAGGACCGTTCCGAGCTCCACCAACTCGAAGATGCTCAAGAAAAGAATTTTACAAAATGTAGCGAGCATCCTTCTCCAATCGCCAAGCTGGTTGAGTCGTGGGCCCCAGTAGCCTGGGGTCGATGGAAAAGTGGCGACCTGACACGAGTTGCACCTCATCTCGCTGCAACGAGTGCTGCAAGGCAACCTCGCCAGCATGCAAAACGAGGCACATTTTGCTGCATGCAGCACCACTATACGCACTTGCTGAAGGCTTTCTTGGCCTTCCATAGCCAGCCTGCACAAACGTAAAGATACACGTACCGACAGCAAAAAGAGCATGCTACAACCCAGGGCTCCTGCATCTACAGAGAGAAGAGCCTTCTTGATTTGTTAACAATAATTGTAGCGTGCTCTGCCTGCAGTTAGCACAGGAGCTGCAGTGACCAGCAGTCTCAGCTGCTACTACGCATGTACACTATGACAACCCTACTGGGTTCAAACTCTACATCTATGCACTAAACGCAGCCTATCTGTAGTGAATACTCACTACAATCACAGCAACAATGCCGTGCTCGTTGTGATATGAGTGACGGTTGCATGAAAAGTGGAAGTGCCTTTGAATGCTTTTTGATGTACATTGAGTATACCATTGGTGAATACATTAAACATTCTTTATGAAGTGACCATTGGTATGACTATAGGAGAGGCTCGCATGAGCCTGGTGCAAAATGTATTGCAACATGCTACGCCGTCCGCTCTCCCAGCCCCAAAGGCCGCAGTGCCCGATCTAGCGGGGTTGCTGACGAGAACAATTTTGAAGAAAAAACTGAGAACTAATTTCTTTAACCTTTGTTAGTTTGTTATGTTGATGTCTCAGTATGATAATTATTGCCTGCCAGCTCGCTATACTCACCTGTGGGGTTCTATGGATGCGCCCCACAGTAGTCCTTCAGAGATGCAACCTAGTAATACGTAAAGCTAACTGAAACATTTGAACTAAAGAGAAAGATTCGAAGTTATCTTGACCAGATCTCAGCATAGCATGTGAGGGACTGATGGCACTCCCTACATCCCATCAGCTTACAGGGCCCGCAGTACCTTTAACGTTATGGATTCGCATCACCCCATCGTGTGAGGGAACTTGGCTCCCTAGTAGGCCTGACAATTGTGTTTATNGTTATGGATTCGCATCACCCCATCGTGTGAGGGAACTTGGCTCCCTAGTAGGCCTGACAATTGTGTTTATCATCTGCGTTTGCGTTGGGGGCACAAGACGCGGAGCCTCTGGCAGAGGCTAGTGCATCTCCTTACGTGAGTGGGATCAAGTTCCTAGGGCCACACGATCCCTAAGGCTCCAAACTCCCCTTAGACTGGCCCTTCTGAAGGGCCCTTCTGAAGGGGAGTTTCTCACACTATCTTTACTATAGGGACTCATATATTTAAATAGTCATCTTTAAACATATTCGAGTCCATGAACCTTAAAAACGAAGTCCAAGAATATCAACAACTCTCTTTCTGTCTTTCCTTCTCTCTATCTGTCTCCTTTTCTATCTCCTTTTCTGTCTCTCTCTCTGCGTCTCCTTCTTTGTCTCTGTCTGTCTCCTTTTATACCTCTCTGTCTCTCTCTTTTCCCCTTTCTCCGCCTGTCTCCTTTTCTGCCTCCGTCATTATCTTGCCAGCCTGTGTTTTCTTTTGTTCTCTCATCCAACCTGCAGGTCACCCTAAACCCTAGTCGCCAAATTCTAGACCCCAAGCTTTGGGCGAACAGCACCTGGGGTGACAGCAGCAGCAGAAAACCCATAACGTCTCAACCGCAGCATCAGTTTCGCAGCTAGCCCGAAGCTGGTGTGGCTGCTGAGCATTCTTGGTTTGCTTACATTGACGTTCTATCTAAAGTAATACAACGTGTCTCTGTGTCTCTATAAGTATTCTATTCGTTCTCTTACATCTAACTAGGTCTCTGAAGGTCCCACATGAGCTCCATTGTAGTGCCCGTGCACTACATGAGCCTTCCCTTGGCCTTGGTTTGTTGCATATAAGCAAATACAAACTCTCAGTAAGTGTATGCGGAGGTAAAGCATGCAGTAGAGGAAGATTCGTTGGAGCTTCCTTGTATCCATACGTGAGGGTGGCTTGTACCACCCGCCGCAGCGAGGTGCGCTGCAACTCTATTCTAGGCTGCTTCCCCCGCGCAACACCCAGGCCCTGAGCTCAAAGCCCAANTACTTTCATTGCAGCTCGCCCCTGTCCCTGATTAATATAATAATAATATAATGGCAATATTTGTACATATAATTGGGGGGCAATTTGTTATTATTGTAGACCAATGATAGAATTAACGTAATAGCGTTACGTGATATAACAACAATGCATAAAGCGTTTATATTATTTATATTTAGAGAAGCCATCATTACGTAGCTCATTCTGTGCAGCAGAGAACTGATCGAGCGCTGCTGCAACTGGGGACCCTCCGTTTTCTTTCATTGTCTTCTCTGTGTTTAATGGTTTCGTTGGTTAACTCTAATTCAGCAAAACAATTTAACGTTTCCTAAACGCCGGATCACTGCAGAGCAACGCTGCAACAGCAATATGCATGCGGCAGCGCCTGCTGCTACCAGCAGCTGCTGTGGCGGCAGCGGCAGCAGCGAGAAAGCGGACCGGCCGAATATCAAGTTTGATGGTATTTATTCTTACAGGTCACCTTAGAGTTGGAATGAGGAGAGCGGGAGCAGCAAGTTGCAGCAGCAGCAGCAGCAGCAGCAGCAGCACCAGCGGCAGCAGGACTCGTGTTGCAGCAACGGCAACTGGGGGACTGTTGCGGCTGTGTTATATCTAAACCCGGATATCGGCGTTTTTAAAAGGAAACACCCCTGTTAGCTGCAGCAACAACTTGCTCTCGTGGCTTCCTCGTGCGGGTGCTGCAGCAACATCGGCAGCAGCAGCAGCAACAACAGCAACACCAGTGTAGGCACCATTGGTACTTTGGTGCCCTGAGCAACAGGTTGGCCCTTCGTAAGCAGCTACGGTGAATTCATATTCTGTAGGTGAGATTAGGCGTCACTAGCTGTACACAGATGTGCGGCTGAAACGCAGGGCCTCAGCAGGAGCAGCGGCAGCAGCAGCAGGAACAGCAGCAACACATCATGCTAGCCAGTCATGTATCTGCAGCGGCCCCATGGGAGGTTCAGATGAGGTGGTGGAGCCCCTTTACGCAGCGGGGCCGCCACAAGAGCAGCGACGCCAGCACCAACGACAGCAACAGCAGCAGCAACAGCAGCAACAGCAGCGGCAGCAGCAGCCCTTGCTCCGCAGCAGAAGCAGCTTCAACTCAATCGAGAACAGGTACAGCTATCCTCTCCCACTGCTCCGCCCTCTCACGCAGCTTCCTCAGCTGCAGGAAACCCAGCAGCAGCAGCAACAGCAGCAGCACCAGCCGCACCAGCAACAGGAGGACCATCCATATGGCACTCTCCGATCGTCTCCAGCACAGGCGGGGGATTTGCAGCAGCAGCTGCTGCTGCAAACTACGCTGCTGCGGCAGCAGAGCTTCAGCCCCTGCAGCATGAGCACCAGCAGCCGCGTACTGCAGCAACAGCAAGCAGTCCGTCGCTGTGCTTTTGCTTCTGCTTCACCAGCGACATCCGGAACACAGAAACAGGCGCGCGCTGCAAGACCTCCTGCAGCGGAAGCAGCAGCAAGATACAATGAATTGACGGGGGTCGAGCCGCAGGGTTTGAGATATTATGAAGAGCGCACAGCTGCAGCAGCAGAAGCAGCAGCAGCAGCAGAAGCACCAGCACCTCACAAACTACACTCCTTAAATAGCCATGGTGTACTTCAGCACGCAGCAGCAGCAGGTGCTGTCACCGGAACAACAGCAGCAACTACTGCAACAGAAACAGAAGGACAGCAACAAGTTGCTGTTGCTTCCCCTGCCACCCAGCAGCAGGAGACACCAACGTCTGGGGGGCAGCGAATGCCCCTGCTTGCTGCTGCAGTAGGTGCAGCAGCAACTGGTGCTGAATCAACCGCATCTGTAGCACGCGCCGCTGCTGGTCCTGCAGATGCGGCACTCGCTGCTGGTGGTGCTGCTGCTGATTCCGCACATCTTCAGTGCACAACCCTCATGCAGCAACGCCTGCTGGAGCAGCAACCGCTGCAGCCGCATACTTCTATGACCGTTTCACCGCTGCAACAGCAGCCTCTGCAGCAGCAGCAGCCTCTGCAGCAACAGCAGCCTCTGCAGCAACAGCAGCNCAGCCTCTGCAGCAGCAGCAGCCTCTGCAGCAGCAGCAGCCTCTGCAGCAGCAGCAGCCTCTGCAGCAGCCGTTGTTGCGTGTGTCTTTACCTGTGCCTGCTGCTGCTCCCCCTCAAGTATGTCTGATAGGGCCCCGTCTGCTAGCTATGAGGAGTCCTTGGGGCCTCTCAACTTCGTCAGTCCTGCAGCGCAACGGGATAAATGAATTGCTGTTGTACTTCTCGGTGCTGCAGTCGTTGCTGCTGCCGGCGAGGTGGGGAGGGCTCATGCCTTTGGGGGCAGCAGATTGCCGTGCTGCCGCCGCTACTATACCCGCTGCTGCTGCCGTTGCTGCAGCAGCAGAAGGGCTCGCACGCGCCACTGCTGCAGCAGAAGCGCCACTGCCATCGCTCCCAGCGCAGATGCCGTGTCACCAACAGCAGCAACACCTGCTGCTGCTGCCTCGCCGCTTCCTGCAGCAGTTGCCTACAGCAGCAGATGGCTCATCGGGCCTCACACAACTTAACGGGCTGTACAGACACCTCCGCAGTGCCATCTTGAAGCAGCAGCAGCTGCAGCAAGGCACTGCATGGGGGACAGAGGACTCTCTAGTGGCGCAGGCAGCAGCAGCAGCAACTGCTGCTGCTGAAGCTGCTGCTGAGTTGGGGCTGCAGGGGGAAGATGCTGCAGCATGGCCTCCTGTTGCAGCAGCAGTTGCGGCTACGGAGGCTACAGCAACCGCAGCGGCTGCTGCGGCATCTGCTGCTGCTGCTGCTGCTCTTTTCCCGGTTGCTTCTGGTGCGGTAGATGCCTGCGGGAGCCCAGCGTCTGCCGGGGGAGCTGCTGCNCTCTTTTCCCGGTTGCTTCTGGTGCGGTAGATGCCTGCGGGAGCCCAGCGTCTGCCGGGGGAGCTGCTGCAGGGAGCCCCTCAGCAGCAGCAGCAGCTGCTGCTGCACCGGCAGCAGCAGCTGCTGCTGCTCCTGGAGACGGCAGCAGTTTTGAATCGAAGCGTCGGGAGGCATTGAGGCAGTTGGGGCGTCTTTTGGCATCTCCGCCCGTCATTGTTGTATTTGATATATACCCCAGAGGCAACAACAACAGCAGCAGCAGGGGCAGCAGCGGCAGCAGTGCGCAACGAAGCTCATCTGTCCGCGGAGGCTTGTCGTCCTCTCCTCAGGCCTTCAAAAGGAGCAGCAGCAGCAC